CTACATCAAGATACAAAAGTTTTGGTGAAGTTGCACAAATCTGAAATTTTTTTACGTGGTGGAATTTAAAGTTAGATTCAAAATAATATCTGGGATGATTCTCAAAGTATTTGATTCCGAATTTGGATATTTCTTAGATATTGAAGATTAGTTTTCAAAAATTTAAGCGGTTTGTGATTTCGACGTCCCTACTTCAAGATACAATATTTTTGGTGAAACTGCGCAAATCTGAAACTATCAATGTGTCGGAATTTAATGTTAGATTCAAAATAATATCTGGGACGATTCTCAATGTGTTTGATTTCAAATTTTGGATATGTTCTATATTTTGAAGTCTAGTTTTCTTAAAATCAAACGGTTTGCAATTTTGATATTTTTACACCGAGATATGAATTGTTTGGTGAGACTGCATAAATCTGGAATTGATAGCGTGGTGCAATGTTGATTTCAAAATATTATCTGGGACGATTCTGAAGTTGTTTGATTGAGAATTTTGGATGTATTCTAGATTTTGAAGTCTAACTTTTAAAAAATTAAACGGTTTACAATTTATATATTTCTACACCAAGATATGATTTTTTGGTGAGATTGTGCAAATCTGAAATTTTCAACGTGTAGAATCTAAAGTTGGCTTTAAAATATTATCTGGGCGATTCTGAAGGTGTTTTATTCTAATATTTTGATTATATTTTAGATATTGAAGTCTAATATTCGAGAAATCAAGCGGTTCGTTATTTGGACTCTCCCACGACAAAATATAAATCTTCTGTTACAAGTGCGTAAAGCTGAAAATTATGTGACTAAGATAAAAGTCGGACAATGTAAAGCAAAAGAGAAGATGAAATATTTAAGCCCTCGAAGTCTCCAAGTTGAAATCTCCAAGTCCGTCTGTCTTCAAGTTTCAGTCTTCAACTTAGTCGGTCTTGAAATCGAAATATTTAAACCTCCAAGTCTTCAAGTTGAAGTCTTCAAGTTGAGGTCCTCAAACTTGTCGGTCTTCAAGTGGAAGTATTTAGGCCCTCAAAGTTTTCAGGTTGAAACGTCAAGTCCGCCGAATCTTCAAGTTTGTCGATCTTCAGGTTGAAGTCTGCATAGTCCGCTAAATCTTCAAAGTTTTCCAAGTGTTCAAGTCGACGTCATCAAGTCCATGAAATCTTCGAGTTGAAGCTTTATAACTTTCCAATCTTAAGGTGGACATATAAGTCTCTTTGCATCTTAAGTTGGCTTCTTCGTGGGTTTGCCCTTGAGAATGGTCATTTTGAGAGTAATCTCTCCGATGGTCGAGCCACATTGAGAGTAATCTATCCGGTAGTTGGGCCACATTGAGAGTAATCTCTCTGATAGTCGGATCATTCTGAGAGTAATCTCTCTGATAGTCGGATCATTCTGAGAGTAATCTCTCTGATAGTCGAGCCACATTGAGAGTAATCTCTCCGGTAGTCGGACCATATTGAGAGTAATCTCTCCGGTAGTCAAGCCACATTAAGAGTAATATCTCCGATAGTCGGGTCATTTTGAGAGTAATCTCTCCAGTAGTCGGGTCACATTAGAGTAATCTCTCCGGTAGTCGGGCCACATTGAGAGAAATCTCTCCGATAGTCGGGCCACATTGAGAGTAATCTCTCCGGTAGTCGAGTCATGAGAGTAATCTCTCCGGTAATCGAGCAGGAATGAGTACCCATCCCCTCGTACCCTGAGATTGTCTTCATCATGCATGGATCATCTCATTAAACAAGAACATATCCTTCTTGTTGACCTACAAAAAAATCACTAAAGGAAGAAAAGCACAAGAAAATAAAAAGAAATTACCTTCGCATTAATGCTTCCGAGCCCACAAAAAATAGAGTCAAGTGACTTACAAATACTACGAACTGATACTCATGAGTTGAAGAGAGTGCAACCTTATATAGATAATTAAATTCGTCTATTGAGAAGCAAATTTTGATGTGGGACATTGTTATAATTGGCTTTCTACAAGGATTTTGCTAGCAACAGCAATTCGTTTCCCACATTAAAAAGGAATCAATCTCTTAGAATCCTTACTAGAGACAAAGACAATTACTTTGCAAAGTAAATTGCCAATCATAACTGTAAAATCACGTGAATGAGCTCACAATATATAGAATGCAAACTTCAATCATAACTCTTTTGCCTTACTCTTGTTCAAATATGATTTCCATTAATATTTTTTAGGCAAAGTGCAAGTTAATTATGGGAATTATTCCGTTGGAAGCACCAATTTGACACCCGTGTTTGAGGCTTCACTGATACTTCAAGGCCTTGCCGTTAATAATCAAGTTTATGTACCGGCAACGTTTGAAGTAGGGGCATTTGTAGGTATATAAAACTTATTGGATTTAGTTCAATAAAATTATTTGGATTATATATTAAATATGTTAGTCCAAATAAATATTATGGGCTAATATAATTAGATTAATTATATAAGTCCAATATATATGGATAAGTCTTAATCCATTGGGTTAGCTCATTTAATTGGGCTAAAGTAGTGAGCCCACTTCATTAAGCTCAAGATGACATCTTCTTAGAGGCCCAGTTTGGTGCCACGCATCAAATAACGTGGCACGCCAAGTCAAACGGAAGATCCAATGGGATCATGCCACGGGTCAAAATGACAAGGCATGTAGCCAGATCAAAAGGCCAATGAAACTGTGTCACGTGTGCAAGTGACATGTTTTGGCCAATCAAATGCGGCCATGTCAATCTTCAATTTGATTGGTCGGAAAGAGTTTGTTCTTATCACAACTCCTCCCTTCCACAACTATAAATAGGGGTCTTCATAACTGAGAAAAGACACCAGAAGTATAACAAGAAGCAAGAAAGAGCTCGTGGATCAAACGCTGCAAATACCTCCACAAGTAATTTCAAGCTTCAAGCAACCAAGTTCAAGTTCAAGCAATCAAGTTCAAGCTCAAGAACGAAGAACAAATCAAGTTCAAGCTCAAGAACGAAGAACAAATCAAGATCAAGTTCAAGCTCAAGAACAACATCATCGTTCGTGGCAACAAACATAGATTCAAGATCAAGCTCAAAGGCCCTTGAATTTATTTACTATTGAAAAGAAGAATCAGAGGATTCATAGAAATTGTATACTCAAATATTTGAAATAAAATACTACGATTGTTGCAATATTTTTCGGTCTTGATTTTATTTTCTCGACGTAAATTTATTGTCTATGGGGCTTTCGTGCTTTTAATATAGCATAAATAGTATAAATATAGATATAGATAGATAGATATAGAGTAGTAAACTACTTGCAAATTTCTATAGAAAACTATATATGTACCGCTAACCATTAGATATATGGACAACCCATATAAAAAATATTTTATATGCTCAGATCACTTATATAATAACTGTAGGTGACTCTTTTTAGTGCTTCACATTGATTGGTATCCTAGACTAGAATAAATGATAAATAATTAATCCATTATAATATAGTTAAATTATACTAATGATGTAAAAAATTCATTATATTATTAATGCATATAATTAAATTCATTGCTTAATTACTATAGTAGTTTCTTTTTGCAATGTTACGTGTGTAGGTTCCTTCATGAGCTACCGCTTATATACACATACTAACCCTGCAAATTTAGTATTAGTGTATTTTCACTTGTTCTAGCATGTTATTTATTTTATTTTTCAGGTTACTATCATGGACAACTATCTATATATATTTTAAGTGATATGATAATATAATTATTTTTTTATGTATAAAACTTAAAGCCTTTATGATATCGTTTCGAAATTCTTGTTGGGTAATAAAATAAGCAGTAGGAAAATGGTATAGAGAGTTGAGTCTTCTTTTTACCCCTTATAAGTCAAAATCCACGCAAACAATTCTATCAACCGTTTAATAATGTCCGAAATAGGTCAATTAAATCTCAAATACTGATGTTTTTAGAACTAACACGGCCGAGTTGTAGCCATTTTTCGTCAAGAAATAATTCAAGGTTTAGCCAAGAACAGATGGTTCATCTTTAGCTCACATCGAATTCTGAATTGAAAAACTGAAGCTTTCAAGGAAGGAGATTCTATGACATTACATTTGATGGCAAAGAAACTCATTCGACAGCTCCCACCAGCTCGAAAGCCTTTCGCTTTCACTCTTGGAGAGCTATAACTATGGGGCTTTTCTAGCTTGAATGGAAAGAAATCCATTAAAGGAAAAATAAACTTCATGTAGCTCATCTAAAAAAAGATTAGGGGTGTTCATGGTTCAGTTTAGATTTCCCTTTAAAAAAATCAAACGAAGTTAGTCGATTTTTCAAATATTAAAACCAAACCAAATAAGTTGGCTATTTATCGATTCGATTTATGTCAGTTTTTGTCGATTTTTCGATTTTTTGGTTATTTATCGATGTTTTTTTAAAATATGAGACATAAAATATTAAACACATATTCTGGCAACAACATTTTTAATGTAACACTATCAAACCAATTGTTTTTTGAGAAATCTATCATTTACGAAGATATATTGATGATAATTGAATCAAACTGTGATGAATAATTTGAAGACTCAATTAAAAATTGATTCTTGTACCTAGCAAAAGATAACTACCAATCAAACTAGAATGTAAAAGCAAAGGACTAGATTATTATAATAGCAAAGAACTAGACTAAAAGTACAAATGAATAACATGTAACATAAAATTTTAGAAATTTGTATAAAAATATACATATATATAGATGTAATAATAAATTTCAAATAGTTACTTCTATAATCGGTTTGGTTAATTTTTTCTGATTATATTTTGATTAATTCAAAACCAAACCAAATTTGATCGGTTTTTAAAATTCACAACCAAAACCAAATCAAACCAAAAAGTATCGGGTTATTTGATCTACCAAAAAATATCGGGTTATTTGGTCGGTTTGGTTTGATTTTCAATTTTTCGGGTATTTATAAACCCCCCTAGCTTCAATATTAAGCAAGTTCAGATCAACCATATGAATCGTCATTATTCATGCAGCTCCAATTAAGCTCATATCAATCCAATATTATATAAAGACAAAATTTTAAACAAATATAAAACCTACAAGAAGTCTGTATATTCTACTATAAATCTGCTAGGACTAGAAAACTCTTAAGAAAGCAATGGAACTAAATTAGAAGTATGAATGAAATAGAAGAACTAGTTTCCAGAACTGTGCAACAGCTGCTGCCTTTCAGGGTACTACAACCATTACAAGTCTGCAAGATGACCCACCCATCTAACTTTCACCCAATAATTCGGTCTGGCTGAATAGCTCCTCCTGAACAGGAACTTCTTTCAGTTGTTGTGATGAAACAACGTCCGCAATAGCTTTTTTAGCAGCCGCGGCCTGATCATCATCCACAGCAGTGTCTGCCTCAGAGACAAGTTCATTTTGCTCGTCAGAGGCATCATCATCCAGCTTTGGAGGTGGAACAAAGAAAGGAATTTTGCCTCTTTGCCAATCATGGAGAACCATCTTGGCGGCAGTCATATAGTCAGGTTCGCCTCCCTGTATAGCACAAATAAGCCCATATCAAGTACGGTCTATCACTAATGTCTGTGGACATCCATAAGCACAAAATTAAAGCAAAGAATACACCACACATAGTTGAAGGATGTCAAGCACATTGCTGAACTGTAACCCAACCGATCCAATATGTTAATCACTAAACATGTTGGGCACAGAAAAAGCTTTTATCACAAATCTCGGTGGAATAAAGAAATATGTACGTCCTTTATCTGGTCTAGGACTATGGCATCAAAGATGCAACATCCTCATTGTTCAAGCCAGCTATGCGCCCTAGATCTCTAAAGGATACTGAATAAGAAATGACCCCAAAAATCAAAAAAATGACAAAAAATTGGACCAGTTTTAAGTAATTAAATGCATTCCATGTCACTAAAATTGTCAATGATGTTAAAAAATATGTACGTTCTTTGACTACCAATTGTTCAGCTAGTGAGCTTCGTTTTGTCCTACATGAACTGAAGAACAATTAAAAAGAACATTTGAAGTTACTTGTCCTATATAACTGATGAACATCAAACAAAATACTTTTAAGTCATCACTGCTGGAGAGGTGAATGGCGGTGTTCAGTTTACCTTCAGAAGTTTGCCTGTTGACTTGCATAGCTGAAGAAGAAAGTCATTATCATCAACCCTGGAAATATCACAAATATTATTTAATTCAGCAGCACAACAAAGATTCTGCCCGACTTTTTTGGGTGTAAACATAAGCTGCCAAAATAAACATGATTCTTGCTTTCCTTGGTGAAATCCTTGACCTAATGTGTAGATATAAAAATATGATGAAGCAGAAAGAATTACGCTATATTCCACTTCTACCTATATGAGGGAGCAGGCTAAGCAAACTAGATGAACATCCTGCCGAATACTTAGGGAATTTAGAATCCTAATCCAATGATATAGAAAATTTACCAATCCTTTATCTTATAAGCTCTTTGAAGATGCTCCTTCTTAACACGATTCAACACTTCACCAATGTGTTCAGCAGCATCCTGCAGGTTTGTCACTCGTACCTGAAGACAATAGCCCAAAGGTTCAAGTAGTTTGAACTGTTAGTCAAAGAACCTCATGCTTACTGCAAAGAGGAAATGGACATCTTTCAAGGAAGACACAAAAATATTCACAAATTGAGAAAGGAGGAAAAGGAATCTCTAAGGGAAGATTAAGTACAGAGAGATCCTATACAACACAAGATGATAAATCTTCAATAGTAAGACTAGTAAACCCGGTTCAGTGGTACATATCCAACTAGCAACAAAATTAAAGCACAACCCTTAACAGGTTTGGTCCTTCAGATTCCGAAGTGGGGAAGGCCAGCATCTATTTAACTGCGTGACTGCAGTTTTTTTCTTTATATTTCCCTATCAAAATGTATTCATGACTAAATACTTCCTACATCATAACTATATGAGGTGCTCATTTGAATGATAGGTAGAAGTGCTCACCTAATAGGCTTATTAAGATACATGACAAAATTTTCTATTAAAAAAATTAAATGCCAACAATAATCGCAATCAGGAAAAATATATCAAATTATTTTAAAATGCGAAAATAAATAGGATATAGAGTCACAATTCCATATGAGAATCCTATTCAGGCATTTTTCTCTATTGAGGACCATAATATTTGTTAAGAAAGATCATCAAAGCAACATTGAATCACCTATGCCTAAATAGTCCTTTTTACAAACTCATTATATCAGCCAGAGAAACTAAACGTAAAGCTTTAGGTAAAAATAGCAAATCAAGCAAAAGTAGAAGACACATACCACACCCTTCAAGACTATATCTGTTTCCGAATCATTATTCTGATAAACTACACCAGGACAGTCGATCAAGAAGATCCTCTTTGTGAGTGTAATGTACTGCCAAACTTTCGTCTCTCCGGGGATAGGAGCCACCTTGCAAACCTAATTCCAAAAGAAGGAGAAAAGGTTAGTTCCAATCCCAAAGCAAAATGAATGTGGTTGCCAGAGAAATGAACATAATACTCAAATTAATATCGTATTTCACAATTCAGGATATGACCTTTTAGACGCTAAGTACACGTGATACAAAAAGCAATTGCCATTATCCAACGAGAAAACAAATTCCCATTATTTATTATTTAGGGAGATGGTGAAGGGAGAGGAAAATTAAGCTCTAGAATTGTATAAATGTTTGGTAATCATGAATCCAGTCAGGAACAAACAATAAGTTCACTGTTGACTATCCTGCATGTGATCTTTTAGAAGCAACATTACTCGATAAACAAAACTTAAGTTGGGAATAGCTTGAATAGTCAAAACACAATTCTCAGGAGGCAGATGAGCTATACAGGAAAAACAACAAGCATTACAGAAACAACATGAACAAAGCCGACACAACTGCCTAAAAGAGGTAGAAGAAGTATGAAGGAAAAGCTTACATTCTTTGTGCGCAATGTATTAATAACTGATGACTTGCCAACATTGGGATAACCTACAAAACCAACAGAGATTGCTTGCTTGTCGCTCTTTATTCGAGAAAACTGTCTCAGTACAGACAAAAGAGAACCCTGAATGCAAAATGGAAAAGAAAATAAGCTACAGAAAATTTTTATCTGAAAGGGGCACATGCACATGCATGCACAATTGTCCATGTGATTAGAAATATAGAAAGGAGCATGAGGGAAGGCATTATTTTACACATCAAGTACGGTGTTTGTTAGTATATTTGTATTTAGAGGTGAGGCAAGGTCAGGAGATATTGCGAGCATACCTTTCCAAAGGACTTGGTGACACTTGCATGAAATGCCAGAGTTGGATATTCCTTAGAGAGTACTCTAAGCCATCCCTTTGTTGCCCACGCAGGGACCAAATCACACTATATAGGCAGAAGACATCAACTGATTCAATTCCTGAAGTAAAGATTAACATCCAAAAGAGCAGAGTATAAAAATTCTGTAGTATATTGATAATAAGCAAACCTTATTCAGCAAAAGGACCATATGTTTATGCTTGCAATTTTCTTTCAAATGCTTCTCCAAATGGTAGCACCTTGTACCTCGGGGGTCTCTGGCATCAAGAACCTGCAAATCCAGGTTAACCACAGTAAGCCAGGACAGCCAGCATTATCCCGTTCATCAAAAATATCCTGAATTCTCCTTAGCAGACAGAGGAAAACTACATCAGAACATTACATTTTCCATAAGCAGCACACAGATCACAGGCAGAGAAGTAGATTGTTTTTTGGATAAGGTAAATAATTTTATCGTAATGGATAACTTTCCTGTATATAAGCAGCATACCAAAAAGTAGAGAATCTAAACATAACATGATTCTCTACGAATGACATTCGATCTTCTATATTAGCTGGAACTCATGGGTGCACCAATAAGAAACAAGGAAAAAATCATGGCAGAAAAGCTGTGCCCGGTACGCATGGTTAAGTGTGATATGGTTTGTGTTTACACTGTGCTACAAGTGGAAATTTGCATTTTTTTCACCAAGAAAGCTTTTAACTGGAAGAATATCAACCACCAATAACATCCTCCATATTAGAAATAACAGGGATTTTAAAAGACACGAAACAAACCTGAACAACTACATCAGAAGAGTCTATGACTTTGTAAAGCTCGCCCCAAATTCGTTTACTTTGTCCTTTCTCAAACATTGTGTGCCTAACAAGATCTCTGAACCCATCTGCATTTTCATTCATGGAGGTGCTAGCATCATGTTTGTCTTCAAAGGCATCTGCAAAAATTCAGAGCCAAATTTGTTGAAGCAAATATCTACTTAAGTGCTTTAGCCCAAAAGGGAAATTTTACGTAGCAGCCATTAGCAAACCCCTTAACTTTAGCAGGCAGAGATGATTATCATTTCATACCTTGAGACACTTCAGCCTTCTTGGCTAGAGAATCATAATCTAATGCCATAAGTTTGGGGCGTTTCCTCTTCGCTTTAGGTCCAAAAGCATCAGCAAAAGGAGCATTGTCAAGAAGATGAACTCTTGCTTGCTTTAAAAAAGAAAAAAAAAACAATATTAGCAAACAGTATGCAAAATCAAGCATGAGACCAGCAAGAATTAGCCTCAATTTGCTAATTATTCTATACACACACACACTCACGCGCATCTCACAGCAAGCTCACTCATCAAATAACAATATGTATGCATATAAAAATGATACTCCATTAATCAGTGAGCCGTGAAGAGGTTCACATAGATTCAGTGGAAACAGAAGAACGAGTCAATAAGCACAAGGGGAAAGCACACTGCATACCTTCTGGTGATCATTTAAAAGGGACATGGGCAACTTCCTTTCCTTTAATATGACATTGTAATTACTGGAAAGCCGACTTGATAGCTCTTCTCTAAAGAATTCCAGTTCCTTCTGGTTAACCACCCGAGTATTCCCTGTAAAGTCCCGGAAACCATATCCTAGTTCAGTCATTTCAACATAGTTCATCCATACACTAAAAACGCATTTACAGTCAATAAATTAATTGACCAGACAGGATATTTGAGCAATGAATATTCAAATAATTTCAGCTGAAGTTAAACATTAAGACTCCATCCTCCTTCAGTTATTAACACTTCCACCTAATCCAATGTCAATTGTGACTGAATTTCAGAGTTATATCAAACCTAAGTAATACATATTAGTACAAATATACTTAGTTTGATTCAAAGAGAAGCGAAAGTGTGAAACTTTTTACATACCGAACCAACGGCGATCTGGTTGTATCCGAGTTGATGGGAGTTCCTTTGATTGTAAGTCGTGCTTAATGATTTTACCCTTAACGTCACGTTTTGGCCTGGTATTGTACATCTTGAGCCGCCGCACAGTGGCGGCGCTACGGCCGTTTTTGGTTGCACTGCCATCTCTGTTGCTGTCTAAGGAATGCTTTGGCTTTCCCGATACGTTCACGGACCTCTCTTTCGTCTTCGCCATCTCCGTTTGATGCTCAAAGAGCAAATATTAGGGTTTTTGGAGTCGGCGAAAAGCCTTATACCCTGCTTTCCAACACTCAAGTTTCGGACGGTTGCAGAGGGGGTTAACTAAAACCTAGCTTTCCAATATGTGCTTGGAGAGGATGTTCTGAAATTTACCCTAAGCTGCTCTAATTTTGGCTTATTTATCTTTTGGCATACAGACCTTTTCAATTTTGCTTTTTTCTTTTTCGGGATGCCTTCTAACTTTGGTCGAGTTCAGATGTCTTCATGGATTAAGTTTGGATTGGCTTTAAAAAATGGGTTTTCAGCATAAATAACTTAACCAAAAGGCAATAGATTGGGGTTGCCCGATTTATTCTTTTGGCTTGTTTTTTAAGCAGCTTTTAACTTCTTTTAAGAACTTTTTAACTTTGTCAAACACTGAAAAAAGCTAATGTATAAGGTAAAATATGTTCATATTTAATGATCACACGAGAAAGCGACGCGTGGAGCCGAAGACAGAAGATAGTCGGACCCGAAGGCAATGATCTCGCTTGACATCGAAAAGAATGATATTCATAAAGGCAAAATAAATGCATGTCATCCAGTAACATTCAATGAAGAATATTCTATAGCACTAAGTGTATAATCCGTTACAGAGAATATGCCATTCACCGTCCACTGTTATACATTTTTCAATGGCTCTCATAATTGTCATTTAAGAGGAGTTTGATCTTGTGACCTTGTGCCCTAGGTGTAATAATAAATAATGAGTTCTATGTAGGAGTTTTGTTCTAAAAAGGAATATTTTAAGGATAAAATAGTAAAAATCTTGGTCAAACTTAAAGTGCTTATAAGCTAAAAATTCATAAGTTAGGGGTGACCAGCTTATGACTTTTAGCTTATTTTTAACTTATAAGCATTTGGCTTATAAGCACTTTTAAATTTACCAAATGCGTAGATAAGTCGAAAAGTGCTTATAACAAACCAGCTTATAAGCTTAGCCAAACACCCTCTAAAACTATGCATAATTTGATAAATATTAAATGAACGTACCGAAATTAAAAAATTTAGAATTCGGTATGGTATTTGGTTTAAGTTTTAAAAAAATAGTATTAGGTATGGTATTTGGTATTTTAAAATGAAATACCGATACAGTACCGAAATATATATTATATTACAAATACACATATTATTAATTATAACATAAATATAAAAAAATCTAGAATTTTACTTTCCTTTGTTCTCTAAGTTCATAAATTAATTCTAAGCAAGCAACAAGACATTTCTAATAATCAAATTTATTCCTTTATGTACAGTTTTCTCCCTCTGTTTGATATTTCCTGGTTTTGGACAAAACTTTTATCAACAGACCTATTTAGTTTTGTACTTTTGAGTATTTTAATTAAGAATATTACAGTTTATGACTCTTGCACTAGTTAGTATTACTGACTAAATTGAAGTTACCGAACCGAATAAATCGAAATCGAAAGAAGAAAAATCGAACCATACTGAATCTAATTAGGTACGGTATTGGTATAGCATTTTAAGAAATCGAATACCGAAAATACTTAACCGAAATATCTAAATATCGTACCGTATCGACCAACGAATACTCCTAGATTAAACGGACCGAAATGTCAAAATGAAACAAGTAAAGGTATTTATTAGGAACAAGTTGTTCCGAGGAAAAAACATAAGTAGGCAATATTTAAGAAAAAAATTCAGATACCTAGCAGCAATAGGTATTTTACAAAACAGACAGCTAAATAAATACATACTTAGCAACAAGCTATAAATATGGACCTAGAATCACATTTTAAAAGAATCCAAAGCATTCCCGTTCTTCTCCTTAAGCAAATATACTTCGTAAATTAGCACCGAGCAATAATGATGAGATTAGAACGTTTTTTTGTTGCTACTTGCTATGTACATATATGAGATTAATGGACTCTATTTCATTTTGAAAACATATCATACATTTATTTTCGAAATTTTTTATGTATCTTTGTTGTTGCAAATTAACATGACCGTACAAATTTTTGTCAAACAATATCTAATTAAATGGTATAATTATATATACTATTGGTATAAAGTTTTATTTTTAATTATATGTCAATATAAATTTCAACACAGTATAATGATGGTATTAATAGTTTATAAATTACAATGGTATTTTTAGTATATAAATTTACAGAGTATATTGAATCTTTCAGTATGTATGTATATATATATATATATATATATATATATATATATATATATATATTATGTTTTAATGTAATAGCTGATAATTAAATATATACATGGTATCATAATAGAGTGTGTATGTGTATATATATGGTATAATATCTGTATAAACAATGTATATGACTTATTTTATTTATACTATTCATATAAATATTCAAAGTACTACAAATATTCAAAGAATATTTTAAAATGTTAAATTAAAGGAGAGAGAGAGAGAGAGTTGAATTCTAAATTTAGCAACTAAAATTTAGAATGGAAAATAGGAGGAGGGAGAATGTAAGAAGATAAATAAGGATAAAACGGATTCCATAATTTATGTTACTCATTAATTGTGCACATAAGTTTTACTCTATGCTAATATTGTAAAAGAATATGCTATATATGGAGTAAACAAGAATTAATATCATTTTCTTAAATACTTTTTGAAAGATGCTCCGTTGGGTATTTTTCTCCTATTTTTTATTTATTAGGCTTTTCTGCCTTAATTATCTAGAACTTATTCGTGTTCTAGAAATAAATAAATCAATAAATAAAACAGGAGGAATGTATGGAGAAGAAGAAAAATATAATGATAGAAATGAAAACGATGGCAGATATTTTACCAAAATCTTATTCTCATTATGTTTGGCATTTTAAACTTTTCCCAATGTGTGTATATTCATCTAATTCATTATGTACTCATATTCCATGTATATATATATATATTCTAGTTTATATAAACATGCGTTGCACGTTAATTATTGGCATATATATATTTAGTCAATTATTTATATAAGGAACAACAAAAATAATGTATATATTAGAAAAAATGTTGGAAGAGTAAAAAAAACATCCATTAAAATGTTGAAAATTGATATTATTAGTGTTTGACTCAAAAGATACTAAAACCTTTATGAACAAATCAATCAACAATGAAGGGGTAAATCTTAGTCAAACATAATTCATTCCGGATCGAAAAGTTAACAATAATGATTGTATATGGGACGAAAGAGGCATGATTGATCTCATTAAGATTCAACATTGCTTTTCTTGTCAGTTGAGGAGGAAGTAAATTTACATATATTCTTCGAGGTCATTTCCTCTTTTTCTTGAAGATATAAGAAAGGAGCTTTTTGTCATCTTTTTTTGAGAGAATGGAGAAGCCTCCCGAATTGAGAGTTTTCTTTGGCTATATATAGTCGAGGCCCTTTTACCCTTTGCTTGACTCGATACTTTCTTGTCGTTAATGTGTCCTGGTCGTAATTTTAGGCATTACTCTTTTCGATTCGTCGGATGTCACAGAGGAGAAATGGAGTGGGCTCTATTGACTTTCACTGCCCAATTACTGAGGCGAGCTGTCGGGCAACCTTGTCGTGGTGGTCAGATTTTGACCAATACAGTTAGTCCCTTCGTCTGTCGGAGTCGTCCTATGTCGGACTTCGGCAGACGGATCATGTTCGTTACGAAGTCGAGAGAAATCTGGCCTACAACTTTCCGTTCCTTAGTCGCATTCTGTGGGTTTTTAGCGGAGTGGTGGTGTTCTTTCGATCCTCGTGGATCGTTGTGGTGGTTTCGGAATCGAAACGTCGGTTGGCACTAAAGTGTTGGTTCGTGGTTATCACCATTATGACGCACGTTTCTGGGAGACTGAAACGTTTCGTGCCCTATCAGATTTGAATGACGACTCTTGGGTTTCGTGCTCGGGGAATTTATGTCTCTTATAAATAAAGGAAACTTGTCACTTGATTGATTCACTTCATCTTTCGCTTGAGAGAGTTCTTCAGATATAGCTTTTTCTGATACCTCGAATTTTTGCTTACCTTCTTGTCAACTGAAATCTTTCATCTCTTTTTCTTATTATTTCTTTGGCGCATTTTCTGTTAAAAATGGCTGATGAATCTTCCCGCAAAAATCTTCCTACCGTTAATACGGTACCGGAGAGTTTTGTTCAGGTCACCGAAGGGGCGGATGCGATAGAGGATGAGGAGATTCCCTCAGTGGTTGAGATTTTGCCTCGCCTAGGGAGAAAGGCGACTGACTTCAGTTTTAGCAGCGGGGCGGAACCGAAACCTGTCCCCTCTGTCATGAGGGAAAGGGGGATTGTAAAGTTGAAAGAAAGGTGATGAATCCCCAATTTCGTCGATATGCGGCCGGTGGAGGGGAGCGACACAGTTCACTCCCGTCCCGGGTACTGCGTGTTCTACGCCTACCCCTTTATTGTAGGGTACACACTTCCTCTTCCCATGTTAGTGGTGGATTTTTGCCGTTTCTACGAAGTGTGCCCCGCCTAACTTTCGCCTTATTTGAACAAGTTATTCCTTATGCTGCTCAAGTACGCGGAACTTGCCGGTCGTGAGGTCACTTTGGACCATATGCTCAGCATCTTTGCTCCTCAACTG